CTATAGATTCCGCTGCATTATAATTTATTTCGATAAGTTCAATACTGTGCATGTTGCTTGAAGTTCCTCACAGAAACCAACAGTATTTAGGTCTAATTTGTCCACATACCACCCGACCTCAATGTATACCGATGTCGGCTACTTTATCGGCTTCCTGGAGGTCGGTACCTATAGGTCATGTCTGTTATGTCAGCTCGTCACCTTAAACCTGTATTTGAGCTACTTGGCCCATCATCTTGCCTCTATACTTACGAGCATTCTCCTAGCCCGACTGTAGTCTAACTACTCTCTCTGACAGATGTGCCAAGCTATTTCTGGGTGCTACATCAATACTGATGCATACTAAAAAAACACTTAGACAAAACATAAGGGAACCAGAAATTTACTACATTATAAAACATTATTGATTCCAACCTTACTAAAGAATAAGAGTAAAACAAAGGCAACAATGAACCAAAATGTAAATTTCATATATGTGAGCTTCTTCGCCAAACTTCGAGCTTCAATGACAACACCATCAAGTCTCAACTGAAACTCAACATTTTTCGTTGTTTGAATCTCCAAATTTTTAATCAACTCATTCTTCTCATCAAACTTTCATATCTAGGTAGCTTTTAATTTTAGCCTCTCTGATAGAAATTTCTCTATTGCATTTTTGCACAATACTTCATATTCTTTTCAAATTTAAGCTTAACAAAACAACTCTTTTGGAATGTCTGAAAATCGGGATCAATCCAAACAAACATGCCACAGTCATCATTGCACTGCATAAAGATAAAATAATTAAGAGCCAAAACTTTACATAAAATCATTCGGCAAAAGGTATCATCTTCTCTATTCTTCCATTGAAGAAGATATTTTCAATAATGATGACATTCTAATTTCAATTAATTTTAGGGCCTAAAAGGATTTCACCATTCAAATTCAGCCATACAAAATATAAGAGATTTGATTAAAAAAAAATGAACCATATATCTTACAATATAAGCATCATACTCAAACAAAAGAAATCTTAAAACACAATAACCATTGCATTGGGTTTTGTAAAGACTTTACCTTTCGGAGACGGCATTTGAAGAACCTACGAGCTGAGTTTTCATTTGTCATTGATGTAAATACATCTCCTTCTATGCCATGATCACAAAGTCTTGCCTCAATCGGAGTATTGGAGGCTTTGTAATATCGATTGGTTGAACTCGTGTGAAAAGCATCTGACACGGTGCTTGCCTGAAAATGGAATTCGATTTTTCCCAATTTTTGCAGAAGATAAAATTAGGGTTCTTGGTTGGTGCTGCAAATGAATTATTTCAAGAAATGAGGCACTTTTGTTAAAGGCAAACCAAAAAATAAGGAAAAATAAAACTGATAAAGTCCATGTAACCAATGGACTTCACATAACCATAAACCCAAAAACAAAAAGGGGAAAAAAATCCTAGGTCGAAAATATGAAATCCAAAATTTGCAAAAACAGATGCAAAATCGAACCTCCAAGGAGAAAACAAATAAATTTGAAATGAAAAGTATGAATTCCTCACCACCGGACGAGCTTGAAAGAAAATCGTGAGCTTAGAGCGCATGTGCAATAAATGGAAATGATAAACAATTTACTGTAACAAATGAATTATTTCAAGAAATGGTTGAATGGTGCTTGCCTGGTTCAATTTTCCCCAATTTTGTCAGGAGTTGAAATTAGGGTTCCTCCTGGTGCTGCAAATGAATGATTTCAAGAAATAAGACATTTTTTGTTAAAGGCAGGTCATTGTCGTTTTTTTCATTAGTGATGTGGCAAAAACAAGCTAATGAGTTTAAACGTAAGTGTCACGCAAACTTATTGGTCAGACAGGTAACTCGGGGTTGGCCATAAAATAATTTGGAGACAAACTTGCAACACATAATAATGGTTGGGTATTTATTTGCAAAGATAAAAAACTTTGAGTTTTATTTACAATTTTATAAAAAAGGCGGAATTTTGTAGGCAATTAAGCCTAAATGAATTACATGAAATGACATTTAATTGCATATTATGGTTGCACATTTAGTTCAAGCAAACCACACATTTAGTTCGTACGTAATATACATTTAGTCCATATACGATAGATACTTAGTTGATATTACTGTTGCACATTTAGTTCAGTAAAATTGTATATTAATACCAAATGCATATTTAATTCATATCAATTGCATATTACGAATGCACTTTACTTCATACATATTGCATACTACGGTCACCAGTCAATGTTGGAAGTCAACACCGAAAATCTATTGTCAACGTCGTAAGTCAACGGTTAACGCCGCGATTAGCCCAAGTCAACGGTTAACAGCCAAATCAATCTAAATAATTAAAAAAAAAAAATAAAAGAATAAACTTTTACCACACATCTTGTTCTGTATTTAGTGATTGTAATGAAGCCTCACGTTCTCATTTTAAATAATGAACCTCATTTGATCCAATCGCTATAAATATATTATATTATGAAAAAACTTTGTATTTAACCTTATTAATTAATATACTTTATATAGTGATAAATATTTAAGGGATAATTGTTTATGAATTCAACTAATTTTTATTTGGTTTGTTTTTTAACTATAGTTAATTTTGAAAAAAGATAGTATGGTTAGTTGTTTGTAGATATTTTAAAATAATATTTAAATAAAATAACTAATGTTAATTTGATGTAAAATAAGAGAAAAATGATTGTAAGTGATAGTTAAAATTATGTGAGTGGGTGAATAGAGAATTAAAGTTGATTTGATGTATAAGAATGATTGCTTGATATTATTTAATTGAGTAAATAATTTTTTTCAACTTGTACTACACGTGTTTTTGGAATTTTCAACATAAAGTATCTTTGGTTGTAAAATGGAACATGAACTACATGTATACGATTATTTGCACGTTCGACTAATTTTTGACCGTTCGATCATATGCAAAAAAGACACATGTATGGTCAAGATGTGGTCGAACGTCCAAATAGTAACTATATATGTAGTCCAAATTACATTTTACAACAAAAAATACTTTAAGTTAAAAATCCCAAAAACACGTCTAGTACAGGTTGAAAAAAACTATTTACCCTATTTAATATAATTATATTGATAATATTGAGGATAGTGGTGATGAATTAAAGTAGTTAAATTTAAGTTTTGATTGATTTTTTTTTTTTTTTTTAGTTGAATGTATAAACAATCACCCCTTTAGTAATTAACTGTAGGATAATAAATATAAATAAATTTATTAATATTTCATGACCCCGCTTAGGCACCCTAAGCACTAAGCCCCAAAGCGTAGCAACCACCTAATGTCTCTTAGAACATTGAAAAGTATGATTATTACCTCCGGTCTCAAGATAGAGATTCTTAGAATAAAGGTACATATTATAATTACATGAAAATTGAGCATACAATATCAGCCAACTATCCTTTTATATCAATTGGTATTGGTATTGTTCTGAGCAAATTTTGGATGAGTAGCAGCATATACTGAACTGTTGACATCAGCTTTCAAGTGAGTAAGGAGATGCTGTATATCTGGACGTAAAGTTTCAGCTGCTCGCCCGATAAGACCAAGGACTTCGGGTCTGGGCTTGCTGCTAGCTTGTACAGGGCCTCCTTGTCCTTCGTAGTGGACAATGTGATGCCTGAAGAGAAACGATACCAAAGTTACACGTGATAGCTAATGTGGAGTAACATTATCAGACCATGAACTTCACGAAGTATAGCTTACAGAAAGTCTATAATATCGGCTATTTCTGATGCTTCAATAGGAGCAGGTGGCTGCACATTCCTCCCAAAGACATCGGCCATGACACTTAGAAGAAGTGACAATATCTGAAAAACGAGAAGTATATTATGCCGGGTAATGCGAATATAATGGTCAGTGTTCGACTTAAGTTTGAACTGAGACTGGACTTGGCAAATTAAAATTCTGAACTCTATGAAAAAGTATTTTGATCAGTGCTGTCTAAGATTATTTGAGACAATTAATTGACATGTCACCATGAGAACAAAATGGAGAGAATGCAAGACTGAAATGTAATTTATCTTTTTCCATGGAAGTTATGAATATAATCGGCTCAAATGTACAATATAGTGATATGTGATAGGAATATATCAACTAAAACACATATGGAAGTTTTTTACAGAACCCTTATGACATTTAATGTGAAATCAGTGAAGGAAGTGTATTTTACCAAGTTGGCTTTCATGCAAAGCCCACAAAAATTACTTTCTAAAGAACATAAAGGAAATTGGGGAACAATAGAAATATGTAGTAGTAAGTAAATGAGAAAAACTCTCCCATACCTTACTGAAGAGGGTGTGGGCATTGGCAACTCGGGGAAGCAATGGACCCATAATACGAAAAGCTATTCTCAATCCAGCTATTGATGTCACGGGCCTCAGGTGCTTAACTATAACATGTGCTCCTTCCATCCACTCTAGTGGAAGGTTACTGAAGAAAGCATGTAGCAATGCAACCACATTACCTACACAGCATTAAACAGGTAGACCATCTGCTCAGGTGACCCACTCAGAATCGATATAATTCATTTTGTTTGTCATTTGTAGTAGCATTAAAAAGAAATAGCTTGAGACAGTAACAAGTACACAATTATCCAGATAAACTCACGAGCTCTTATTCCTTTCTTCTTTCTTGGAAAATTCTAACTACCCTCCCCTGCCCTTCTCCTTTTCTTTTTACATGATTCTAAACTCTTGGGCCATTACACAATTTGTATCTATGAAAAAAGGGTCTAACATGTTTCTTTTCACAGGGATAGACTGTTTATACCCATATTAATTTTCAGGTGACAACCATCAACGACATCCATAAGATTACAGCTTTTTTTCTTTTTGCAACAAATAACTGGAAATTTGAGCAGTAGCATTACCAACAGCAGTCGAGGTATTGTCCTGTGCGGCCCATGATGGGTCCAACAGAGCATAGCAAACGGCAGACTCGAGTTCGCTAGCTGACCTCTTTCCGTCTGCAAGCCACCAGCTCTCCTTTATCACACGAGCCGCCTCGATATAGAGCTGGACGTGAAAATCCAGAGGGAGCTGGGCCAGAAGAAGGCCGCAAGCCTGGATCAACAAGCAGGACAGCTGCTGGCACGTGTATCCACTTCGCCACACGAAATTGGTGGTTGTCAGACCCGATCCTGCAGAAGTGGTCCGTGTAGGGCCCAATGAGTCAGTGCTCCCTCCGGAGGGGGAAGTCGGCAGCACACAACCTGAGGCAGCCCCATTGTTGGACTGGACCAGAGTCGGTTGTATGTGGACTACAATTTGAACAAGTGAGGACACAATCTGGGAAGGGGTGACCGGGAGAGAGAGGATTTCTATGACGGCGGTTTCTAGAATGAGCTGGGTGTGCGTGCCGGGATCCTGAATCTGGTAGAATGGCTTTTGACCACCTTCGGGAAGAGGAGGGGAGCTAGTTGCAGGGGCGGCCTGTGAGGTTGCCTGGGGAGCCTTGTGAGGTGGGGCCCACTGGGCTTCCTCCACCTCCCCGTTTTTGGAAGAATTGCTCAGGCGAGGAATCACATGATGCACTAGACCCAGCAGAAGGGTCGCAAAGTAGTCCGGTGGAGGGCAGATGGGAGCATTAGCCAAGTTGATGTGCTGAGGGAACGATTCTGAAAACGGGATCTGGAGAAAACCATAGGGTGAAATAACATATTTATACAGCAAAGGTTCTGTATTGCATGAGAGAGAGAGAGAGAGAGAGAGAGAGAGAGAGAGAGAGAGAGAGGTATCATTACCTTCTTAAGGTCCAGGACATGCAAAATTGGGAGAATGAGTTTCCCAGGAAGATGGCCGTAGAAATAAGCAAGTATGTCACGCACAAATGTGAAATTCAAAGGATAGTAATGAAGGAAAGTTGAGTAAACTTGTAGGACTCTGTCGGCAGCATCGATAGCATCGTTTTCAATGAGCCTATACACGATCATGGGAATAACTGGGAGCAACCTCCCTGTGATGTCATCAAAAAATGTTGGATACCTGCTAGAAATTTATACACGTGTGTGTGTTAAAAAGGTGGCAAACAAAAATGTGCAATAAGCCAATAACAATACGATGTATGATGTTATGGAACTATCGAACACAACATGTGGTGTAAAGATTCTTCTGGTTGATTAAAGGCTGAAAAAGCAGACGGAATGGAAATAACGAAAATAAGTGAACAAAGTACAAAAACAAGAGCATAAACCGGTCCAATGCCAAGCAACCTGGGAAATTAGCCATCATATATTTCATTAGCTCGTATGAAGCTCAAAGGCAAAGCCTTCAACAACCACACTAAAGTAAAGTTACTGCATCCTTAGAATATAAGGGCAGGAAGAAATTGACCAACGATAAGGTTAAAACACATCCGATAAAATTCATTCCTCGATCCTGTAGAATCATAAGAGGTAATATAAACTAAATTGCTTTTTATCGGATATAAAAAAGTAAAAATGTCCAAGAAATCACCTTTCTTTATATGACAAGTGTATTCCGAGAGCCTCTTGCACTTCAACACGCTTGAAAGTTCCAGAGAAAAGCCAGTGCTCGGGTGGACCACGATTTATAAGATACATTTTCACTCTTTGTTGAAGCTCTTTGCTATCGAGTATATTTATCTATCAGACAGAATGGGAAATTCCAAGAGGGGAGGCCAGGGAACCCAGATGAGTATCCTCAATATCAAGAATTTTGAGGTAAATATAAATGGAATCAATGTAACCAAGTCGAAGAAGAAGAAGGACTAAATTGTAGCGCCCACTTACTTAACTTTAGAAAATAACAGGACTTTCATAAATAATTTGAACCTTTTCAAATTTGCTTGGGCCAAAATACAACTCAAAACATAAAATTCGGGTACTTCGCCCGAATCTCAAACTCGTACTCCCAGGTCGCCTCGCCCTCACCATGACGGCTCTACTGAACTTTGACGAGCGTCACCTCCCGGTTCCTTAACTGGTGGACCTGTTGGTCCAAAACGGCTACCAGTACCTCCTCGTACGTCAAGTTTTGCCCGACATGAAACGTCGTGCACCCCCAAAAACTCCGGTAGTAGAGCCAACCGATAGGCTAGGTCGTTGACTCGGTCTAGAATCTCGAAAAGACAAACGAATCGAGGCTATAACTTCCCTTTCGTGACGAAGCGAACCACACCTCTCATTGGTGCCCTTTAGGAAGACCTTGTCGCCAACCTCAAATTGAAGATCCTTCCTCCTCTGATTGGCGTAAGACTTCTTACGGTCGTGAGCTGCCTTGATCCTCGCTCGGATCTCGTCGATCTGCTTCGCTGTCTTCCTAATGATCTCCGGCCCAAGAACCTTCCTCTTGCCGACCTCGTTCCAATACAAAGGGTTCTTACACCTCTTCCCGTACAATAGTTATCAAGCGGCGACCCAAACGACACCGTACAAAGCCTTGTACGGGAAGAGGTGTAGGACCCTTCGTATTGGGACGAGGTTGGCGAGAGGAAGGTTCTTGGGCTGGAGATCATTAAGAAGAACACGGAGCAGATCGACAAGATCCGAGCGAGAATCAAGGCAGCTAAAGACCGGCAGAAGTCCTACGCCGATCCGAGGAGGATCTACAGAGGTTAGCGACAAGGTCTTCCTAAAGGTCTTACCGATGAGAGGTGTGGTACGCCTAGGGAAGAAGAGGAAGTTGCAGCCTCGAATTGGTCCTTTCGAGATTCTAGACCGAGTCGGCGACCTAGCCAATCGGTCAGCTCTACCACCGGAGTTTTCGAGGAAGCACGACGTGTTTCATGTCTCTTTGGAGGAGGTACATGCATGACCTCAAAAACTTCGACGAGCTTCATGCGGGCAAACCTGACTTACGGGAGGTCAGGTACCGGTAGTCGTTTTAGACCGAAAGGTCCACCAGTTGGGGAACCGGAAGGTGAAGCTCATCAAAGTCTAGTGGAGCCGCCGTGGCGAGGGCGAGGAGACTTGGGAGAACGAGTTTGAGTTTTGGTCGAAGTACCCAGATTTTATGTTTTGAGTTGTATTTTTCCCCAAGAAATGTTTTATTTGAAAATTTTCAAATTATTTCTTAAAATCCTTTTATTTTCTAAAGTTAAGTAAGTGGACGCTACATAAATTTTTCATCTTTCCATCCATTCATACTAGTCTAACCCGCCGCAAATGATGATATCTAGTTACAATACTCTATTTTATAGAATTTATTTGTCAATTGGGCCAACCAGTATCAACATAACCACAAGAGGCCTTTGCTTTCATAAGTAACTTCTCTCACATGGGGAAAACAAACAAGTAAAATACACAAAAGAGTTAGGAAGACATCAAGATCAAGAAACCATACCACAATCCGCAGAGCATTGGGATCATCATCACGGTCAATAAGTGCCAACAGTAAAATGTCTAAAGGTATTAATTCATGGGTCCAAATAAAGAAGGCGAGGTTGTTGCATACTTTCAGCATGAGATCCTGATCAGACAAATATATTAAAAGTCAGACAAATTAAGAAATGATATATATATATATATATATATATATATGTTAAGTAAAGTGTAAGGTCACCAATAACGATAGTAATAATACACAGAAATTGGGAGATGAATCAGGTGAAGCGAATGCACCTGCAATGAACGTAATCCGCGCTTCAGTTCTAAGTTGAAGTGATGCAGTACCACATCCACCATAGTATATATGTTGGAAGTAACTTCTTCAGGGGAAAATTCTCCCAGGACATGACGCTGCATATCAAAAGTCATATGAACTCATAGGTGGCAAGAAGGTGACAGAGAGTTGGCTGGTGGTATAGGCATGCTCTAACATTATAGTACTCTGGAAATATCAGTATCGAGAATAACAGAATGCATGAAACCCACTTCCATAGATGAGATGTCCATAGTGACGAAGTGAGACATGGGTCCCACCGGTCACAAGATGCTACGGACTCATCAGGCAAACTACTAATGGATTTCCCATAGAAGTCCTTTTCATGTCTACCTCACGGTGGACATCACACCTCCAGTCTATGTACGTGAATCTTAGAGTGTGAGGACCACCAATCACGAAAACCATTGAATTATATAAAGCTTTTCAAAAGAACATTATCTGATAATTATAATTCTTACAAGATGTGAGACGTTAATGCTTTCGGATCCATACATAAGTACCCATGCTCCAGCACAAAGATACTGGCGATGCTGAGGAAAACTGTGCTTTATGTAAGTCGTCACATATTCGGATTGAGTATTAGTAGAAAGAAGTTGATTACATTGATGAATCACAGTTGCTTCTGCCTGCAAGTTATACGAATATAGAATCATATATATCCTGTCAACAAAACTATATTAATAATTTTTACCAGGGAAGGCAGCAGTTGGCACACTGTCACCCACCCAATCTATTTTTATCATGATTCTCATCCAAATTATTTAATTTTCATTTATGTCATTTTATTACATATTCTCCTACAACAGATTTTTTATCTGATCATTTCACCATTTTTTTATCAACATTTTTTTTTCTTTTTTGTATATTTTTCTTAGTCAAGTAATGATTTTTTGCTCCATTTCAACTTTTCAAATCCATAAAAAAAAGACATTCTTTTCTTATCTTCTAATCAATCAATTCCATGAGCACAAATCATACAGAAAGCATGGACTGGGGTCCGCAGACCTGGGACAAGCATGTGTGAGGGCATGGTGCTTCTATGTGTGTGTGTGTGTGTAAGCGAGCGAGAGAGAGAGAGAGAGAGAGAGAGAGAGAGAGAGAGAGAGAGAGAGAGAGAGGAACAGAGCATAACTAAAACTTAACAAATGTATCATATACCTGCTGCCATAATTGAATGGCCAAACCTCTCTTATCTACACGCCCAGCCAACGCCTCACGTAAAATATTAGGGAAATAGCGGAGTGTTTTCTCAGACCATACATGTTGACTGGTGGCCAGTATCTGTTCCAACATTGTTTGGAGGTAAAACATATGTTCAACCTCTGCAATCCCACGAGTTTTGATGATGATGGCAAGATTAGTTACGGTTATTCGATTTAGTGTCTCAGTAAACTCAGTTGGGCCCTGACAAATACAACAGCAAAGTAAGACTAAATTCCATCACATATGCAAAGCATTTTATATTGAAATAATTAAAAAAAAAAGCTAATAAAAAATTGTTCTCCACCTTTCCGTCCCTCTTCACATTAAAAAATTCTCTCATTGATAGTATTAGATTCATGCATAAATTTTCCGCCAGCCTAAAAGCACGATGGTCTCCATGCTTTCCCTTCAGTGTAGCAATAATTTTTGTGACATCATGAATTAACCCTTTGTTCTTTCCTTGGTACCTGGAAAAAGCATGAAGACAACAGAATTTATCACCATCTCAATAGACTGTAAACTAGAACAAGCCACAGCTAAAGTATTGGCCAAGAAAATAAACTGTCAATTATCCAGTCTCAAATATTAAACAATCAAGCTTTTTGTGCTTTCAGAAGGGAATCCTAATGTAATGTAGTTTTTAAAAACCACTAGATATTTTCTAAAACAAGCTAAAAATGAGGGGCAGTGATTTTCTCCATAGTCTGTTAGGTGGTTCACTTGTGTCTTTGCATTAAATCGGAAAATAAAAAATATGGTAAAAGTCTATTTTAAAAGGAAGTTAGAAGTCACCAATTGTAAGTTCAGTTGAAACATCACAACTTAAACGCGCCTTGTTCTTTCCCTACTTAAAATATGGTTTGTCTATCCGCACTATTATTACTTTGTCCATTCCATAATTCAAGTTTACAATCAAATTTGGCCACTGTCACTTCAATTTCACATTTTAAAGCGATGTAAATAAATGCAAAATAAAAAATAAAAAATAGAAAACACAAGAATAAGGTTCTCTACATCCATCTATCCAATTCTCTCACAAAACATGACAGCATAGCCCTTTATGTGGTAGTATTTTGACAACCATTATTGCAATTGTCCAGAACATGTTATATTGGGTTAGTCAATCATAAATCCAGCATTTTCTTTAATAAAAATACCCCCTCAGTCAGTTAAAGATTCAATTTGTACCATTCTGCTTGGTATTTCTGCCCAAACCTCCACTAAATACCTTGGACTGCCCTTGGGAATTGGAAAATCCAAGCTTGATACCTTTGCCTTTGTTGAAAACTCTGTCAAGAAAAGGATATTAAACTGGAAGTCCAGATTTCTCTCATTTGCAAGTAAAGAAGTACTTCTAAAATTATCCTAAGTGCCCTTCCAACATTTGACATGGCCTGCTTCCTGCTCCCCAAATGAACCAATCAACACATGGCTCAACACTTTGCAAAGTTCTGGTGGAATCAGGGTGATACAACCAAACAAGGTCTGCACTGGAAGTCATGGAATCACATCACTCTTCCCAAAGACAGAGGTGGCCTAGGCTTCACTTACCTTCACTCGTTCAACAAGGCCATGATATCCAGGCAACTTTGGAGGATTGTATATCAGCCACAGCTTCTTGTCAGTAAACTCCTCAAAGCCAGCCAGATACTTTCCTAGAGGAAACTTCTTTTCAGCCACTAAAAGCAAAACAGCTCCAGATGGAGCAGTTGGCTCAAAGTTTAAAAAGACTTCCTAGGTGGAATCAGGTACAAAATCAACAATAGTTGAAAGGTCCATATTGGGAAAGCCCCTGGGTTCCAAACATTCCAGGCTTTAAGCCCAAAGGCAGAAATCCAAGACACAGTGAGTTCACCCATGTTTTACAGCTTTTTGAGGGTAATGGCAGGACATGGGATAAAAGCATATATTCACTGATCAAGAGCAGAAGGCAATCCTTAGTATTACTAACCTGAATCCTGCCATTGATGTCAAGCTTATTTGGGACTGGGAGAAAAATGGAACCTTCTCTGTTGCTTCTATTTATGTTGCACTGGTTGAGGAAAAGTGGAAGAACCTGGATTTTCCTGAGCCTAGCTCCCACGAGAAGGCTGCCAAACTTGCTAGACAGAAATTCTGGAGCCTGCCAATCAAAGGTAAACTCAAGCATTTCCTATGGAGAGGTATTAACAACATCATTCGTATCATTCCTGTCGGTTGTAATCTTCTGAGAAAAGGCCTTGTCTTGGATCCAATCTGCAAGCTCTGTGGAGAAGCTCCTGAAACCCAGGAACACCTATTCTTTCACTGTTCTAGATCAAAAAGAATTCGGAAAGTAGCTCGTCTCTTATGAAGGTCTGATTAAGGAGACTGACAACTTCAAAGCTTGGTGGTTCAGAATTTCCTCTTTGAGCTCTGCAGGCTCTCCATGCAAGAGAATTCAACTCACTACTTATCTTCTTTGGGAAATCAAGAAATCATTGGGTCTTAAAAGCACACTGAGGTCTGAGTTGTCTGTGAATGCTGTGGTCAATGCTGCTGTACAGGGTTGGATCGAGTTCTCTAGTTTGTAATTTCTTTTGGTTGGTGTTTAGTTTCTGTTGCCTTTCTTTTTTTAGTAGGTGGCAACTTACTAGGTTCATTTGATCAGTGGCAAGTTGTATTTTGCTGCCTCTTTTTGGGTTGTTTGTTCGAGGTTGGGGTTAAAAATCAACCTGAGTTTGTATTTTTACCCTTTGCTTTAGTAGTTTCTTTTTTTTTTTTTTTTTTTTTTTTTTTTTTTGGGTTAAGACCACCTCTGTGGTGGTTCTTCTGTATTGGTGGTGTATGGCAAGTTAGCAATGGGCTTTTGTACTCTAGTTTTTCCTCGAGTTATAAATCCTTTCGTTTCGAAATTAAAAAAAAAAAAAATATTAGTCAAACTCTTCTCCTTTACTTACAAGTCAAGAACAACTATTCCATTCCAAGTTGTCGCCAATAAAGACTATCCCTAAAAGGATTGTGGCACTGGAGCACTATGAACTAGCTTAATCTACGAGAAACGGCAGGAGAGGAAGAGAGAAAAGAGAAAATAAAACAACCAAAAGAAAATTTAGTTCACCTGTAGAGTGATAGTAAACGGTAGTTCAGAATTTCAAAGACCAAAATCAAAGCAGCAGGTTTGCTCAGCGGATTTTGATTCCTCTGGGTCAGAAGCTGAAAGTGAGATTGAAGATAAAACAATTAAGTTTTTATATTAACGGAAAACAGTAAGTACAAGAAGAAAACATCGACCTCTCGTACATGCCTGGTACACCTGATGGATTAAACAAATCAAAGTGAAATGCAGGTCATGCTCAATAAACTATCACTAGAAGTGATTATACATCTGGGATGATTAGACCATGAAGTCAAGATGGTAGAGATTAAAATTTGGTTATTCAGTTTCTTTCTTTTCTCGAAAAATGCTCTGTCTAAAGAGAAAGTAGAATCATCACAATGCAAGGAACTAATCTATCATTATATTAAAAGAATAACCTTTTTATGATTTCCCGCCAAAATCATTATTTTCCCTCCAAAATCATTAAATACCCGCCAAAATCATTATTTTCCCTCTAAAATCAATCATTATTTTCCTTCTAAAATCATTAAATAAACAGTGATATAGTGTTAACAGAAAACCGCGCTGGTTTTTGTGATGTTTTTATTTTTCCTATTTGTTTAGGTTAACAAAATAATATTTTGTGATGTTTCCTTTTTTCCTAATTTTTAGGTTAACAAAATAATAAATATTGTGTTGATTTGTTTCCCTTTTAATTTAAACTCTTTTAGGCAGAAATTTCGAAACATTATATCTGATTTATTGTGTAGATATTTGTTTTTTTTTCCTGTTTTTTGACCGAAAGTGTTTATTAAATTAGCCTTATAATATTTTAGTTATTTTAAACAAATTGTTTAGACATTTGGTTTTTTTTTACATATTCGTTTATATATACACATATACATAATTGATGTTAAATTTAATTATTTGTAGACATGCTTTTTTTACAAAATAGTCTAGATTTTTTTTTTTACATAATGTTAAATTCAAATGTTTTTAGATATGTTTTCTTTCTAAAATTGTTTAGAAAAGTTGTAGGTGACTTCATATCTTTTAAAAATAATATAGATAATTTTGAATACTTTTACATATACTAATATAATATTTTAGGTGTTTCTAATATTAAACATACAAATTTTATATTCTATTATACAAAATAATATAAAATTTATATTCTCTTATACAAAATAATTTTACATTGTCTGACCCCGACACTTTAATATATAATTATTATTTTTTTCTTTCCCTTTTTAAATAGAATCAATAGTAGTTTCTACTTTTGCCGTTGAGTGACTCAAACTCCAGGTATATTTATAATATTGTTAATGTAATATTGTTACCGTGCATTGCACGGGGTACACACTAGTTTCCATAATAAGCTGATGTGATTTTTTTCTTAAACAAATAAATGAGTTACTTTATTACTTGTATAATTTTACCCCTGCCATGCATACATCAACTTTCGAAAAAGTAGTAAAAGAACAGATCACACTCACTAGATTTACTAAAAAGCATAAATATATAATTGTAGGTTTAAAGGGTTTAACACACGATGAAGGGGAGAGAACATAATACCGTCATGAGTGAACGGAACAATGCATGAGGAGCAATGAGCAAGACACGAACATATGTTTCGACCATTGCAATGCTAGGCACAACCTGTTTCAAAAGTCATCACGGTCTAAATAAATGCATGTCATTAAGCCATATACCAGTATGTCCTAATTAAAACGGTTGGTCGAGAAAGACAGATATAAAGAGCAAGATAACCTAATACAATGCTTGTTAAGGCACAAAAATTATCCATTTTTGAGAGAAGGCATATGGACGCTGTTGGTTAAATTTTTATTTTGAAAATTTTGGTTTGGTTAAAGAATATTGAGAAAAAAGTTTCTGAAATGTAGATGATGACATTTAAGTGAATATACATGAGATGGAATGTCAAAAGTTGATTTCTTATGAAATAGTAAAATCATGATAAGATATCATTGATAGTTAAAAGTAAGTGAGGCGAACAGCAAAATCTGTGGAAAAAATTAATAATGAATAGTGATTTGATGATATTTTCTGAAAATTGTGTAGAAGTGATTGTTGGGAGAAAGAAATATAAGTGAATAAAGTTAACTTACTATAATTATCAAAGCAAAAAATTAATTTTCAAGAAAAGAGTCACTTAAGGGTAAGGTCTGCGTACAACTGACCCCCCAGACCCCAACCTGTTGGGAATATACTGGGTATGTTGATGTTGATGTTGATGTTGATGATGTAAAAGAGTCACTTAAGAGAGAAAAAAA